GAGAAGAGGAGAAATTCTTGTAAGTTATTAAATTAAAATTATAGTACAGTTTGGTAATGACACTTCTGGTAAAAAAACCCCCATAATTTTGGTATTAAAACCAAAATATAGGGTATTTATAAAGCATACACTAAGTAATTTTTCCACTCATATAATATTGGTTTAGTGGAAATTCTATTTTTTTAAATTATAGTTCTTATTATCAAACAATTTAGTACAAAAATAGAACTTGAAAAAATTATTTAACCAAATAAATGGTTTTTATGCCATTTTCTAATAAATGATGAAAACATTTTACCACATTTGCTAAATTTTATCACTGGTTATAACGCTATATTTTATGATTAACTTAACCAAAATCATTATCAAAGTATTTCGGTAAAAAGTACCGAGATTTTTAGTGCTCCCATAGAGCACGGTGGTTTTAGTATTCCCATACACATTAAATATAACCATATCCTGGTAAATTTGATCATACCTTTCTTCTCATTGCACAATACCGTTTAAGCCAGATAAATAAGTAAATTAATATGGTTCAGTTTAGCACTCTATTAAGATAGCAGCAAATTTAAAATATTATCTTTCTACACTCTTTAAAATTTCTAAAAAATATGGCTGATGCTTTTAATTTTTTTTGCATATGGTAAGATACTATTTATATACTATATACTATACATGCATATGGTAAACTTGTAGAATTAACCTAAATTGGAATCCATTAACAGAGTAAATTTCTTAGAAAAACCATCAAACCAGTTTAGCAAGTAATTTTCTGCTCATTCAGTTATGTTGCTCCCAATTGAAATGGAAATTGAGATTTTCAACTTTATTTCCGCTAAAAATATTTGTTTAAGAACGAATAATCTCAAAGTTACAATTATGTAAATATTTAATGACGAACGAAACAACTCGGAAGTTTTTGAACAAAAGTATGCAACTCTCCGCTATAAGTTTCAAGACAAATGGGCTTCAAATGCAACATCATTAAAAGCACTGAAATACTTTAAATTTAATATTTGACTTAAGACTTTGACACATTCTTCTGATTTAAATTGTGCCCAAAATGCATTTCACGGTGCAATTTTCAATGAAGTTTATCTCAACCATTAAAATTCATAACCTTTTCTGATCCCCGTATGGCAGAAGATATGTGTATTTTGTGACATCAGAAATTAAATTGCGACGCCGTCCCAAATATTTACGCAAGATATGGGTCTTTTGCTTTTTGGCCTTGAAGCATCCAGGAGGACTTAATTACGACATTTTAAGGATCTCTTCGTCGACAATCTTACAATCGTTAAGATGACAAATTATAAAACCATTTTCTCTTAAACTTTGAAGTGATACTTTCGCGAGGGTTTCATATGATTCTTTCGGTACTCGTGGGCAATCTTTTGCATTCCAGAGAGAATGATTTTTATTAAAGATATAGTTTTATGCTCCGTAGGTTTCTTTAATGTAACACTTTGATGAGGATTTTAAGTTGAGAAGATAAGTAAAACCCACAGATAATTAAAGACAATTGCACAAATCTGTGTTTATTTTCTTTACGGTGCAATAATGCATTCATTCATATAACAAAATATAACTCATTGTATGCAATTTATAAATACAAAAATATGTATATAGTTTATAAATACGAAATTCTTGCGCAATATTTTGCACTTTTAAGGGAATGATTTTATTGGATATAGTATAGCTTCATATTCAGTAGGTTTCTTCAATGTAAAGCTTTGATGAGGATTTTAAATTGAGAAGGTAGTAAAATAGATGGACCGGAATAGCCTGGTCGGTAGGGAGCTGGGCCCATGTCCGAGAGTTCGTGGGTTCGAACCCCGCCAGCCGAAGATTTCCCGTGTAGTAAAGTGACTGATGCACGTTAAATCTGTCGAGTCGCAAAAGTCCTCTCCTCTGGGGATACTGGATTGGAGACAGATCGTTCTCTGATTCAGGTCAAAATTACGATCTGTGGATGAATGAATGAATGTATGAATGGGTTCGCCCTATAAACGGGCGATACGTATGGTGCGGCAGAAGTCGAATTCTTGCCCATAGATGGCGCCACTGGCAAACAAGAAATGTACACTCTGCCCTAAATTTGCTCGGTTTCACCAAGCAGGCTTGCCCGTGTGGAAAGTGGTATTAGAAACAACAACAGTAAAACCGATAGATACTTAAAGAAAATTATACAAATCTTTGTTTTTTCTTTTTTACATGCAATAATGCTTTCATTCATATTACACAATGTTATTTACAGTATATAATTTTTAAATACGAAAATATGTAAGAAGTTGGAAAGTTACACAAATCTTTGTTCATTTTCTTTTAAGTGCATTAATGCTTTCATAAGAATATCAAAATTTAATTTAGAGTATGTAATTCTTCTAAGAAGGAGAGGATCCAGAGCCTCTCAGAATGGAGGAAGGCTCTGGCCCACAAAGGGCTGTCATGTCAATAGAAGAAGAATTTATAAATACAAAAACGGAATAACACGAAATATGTGTTTATTTATTTATTTTTATTCTGCTGTGTTAATTTGTCTGTCAAAAAATACAGCTTATTGCTCTATTTTTTAACTGAAATAATATTTCGTGATATTTCATTTCATATAAATTAAAAGTGTCAGTTTTGGTATTTGAAATAAAATTACGAAATATTTTTAGATTTCTTTAATGTAAGACGTTCATAGAATTTAAATTTGTTCGTTTTAAGTATTGATCTAGAACAGTGATTCTCAACCTTTTTTTTGTTGCGGCACACTTTTAACGATTTCGAAATTTGACGGCACACAATGAAAATATATATATATATGTAATAACAGGGCTACATCCCTTTTATCAGTGTTGAGGCTGGTATTGATAACAGTTCACATCCGCACTCCCTACGGGAGGGGTATGGACAAGACTTCTGACAATTCCGGAACAGCTTATCAGGATCGCATCATGATGAAAAGGACAAGCAAAACTAGCGTTCTTACGTTTTATACCAACACAGATTTGAGTTAAAAAGGAACACTTCGTACATTCCTTGTAACCTTACGCATTATGGAAAATCATTTACTGCTTCCTTATATGGAAGTGAAAAAGGAACGATTCTAAAAATAACTTTGAAATATAAATCTATTTATATTTCAATGGTATGTTTTCAGCCTTGAATTCCCAAAATAGAATCTCTCTACTTTTATTCTTTAACAAAGACATTTTATGAAAACGAAAGAGTTTTAAGTCTTTTATTAATACAAAAGTATTTAATTTTTGTATTATATATATATATATATATATGAATGAACACAAGTTAAAATCTTGCAAACTTATCCCTATGGTCTCATAAGTCACATGCAATTTATAAAGGAAGAAAGTATATATAAAGAACATAAAAAGATTTCTTAAGGCTTTATTTTTATACACTGAGTGGCCAAATTATTATGATCTCCCCCTCAATACGCTGTTGTACCACCTTTAGCCCGTAATACTGTTTGAATTTTTTTTGGCAAAGATTCTATGAGATGCTAGTAGGTGGTTGGAGGAATTTGACCCCATATCCGATGAACTGCTTTTTTAAAGTTCCGCTAGATTGTATGGCACTGGATTCAGCTGTTTGATGCCCCATTCAATCTCATCCCACAAATTCTCAATTTGATTGATATCTGGTGATCTGGTGACGAAGCAAGGTAAAATCACATCTATGTTCTTCAAACAATCTAATGACAATATGAGCTGTATGACAACGAGCAATATCTTGCTGAAAGTATCCATCCCCGGCAGGGTACTCCATTAACATAACAGAATGTACTTAATTACTTAAATACTCTTGGTCATTGAGACGTTGTTCCACAGGAATCAAAGGACCCATGCAATGTCAAGGAAACAACCCCAAACCAGAACATTTCCTCCACCAGCTTGAAGTGTTGTGGAGATGCAGTTGCTGTCCATGCTTTCGTGTTGTTTCCGCCATATCCGAACCCTGCCATCTGCATAGTGTAATTGAAAACATGATTCATCAGACCACATGATCCTTTTTCAGTCATCTAATGTCCAATCCTTATGCTCTTTTGCAAACTGGAAACGTAAGCTATTGATCAATGACAGCAGAGACTTTCAAATGGGTCGTCGGCTCCCATAGCCTATACGGTGTAATGGGCGGCGCACAGTTCGTTCAGAGGCATTCGCAGTTGCACCTTCATTAATATTCCCCATTATTTGACGTATTGTTGCTCTTCTGTTAGACTGGGTAACTCTGCCAATTTTAGCTTGAGCATTCAGTAGCCTGTAACACATTGCAATTGACGATTCACTTGCCTTGCAATTCCTTTTTGTAGCTATCTTACCCTCTAGCGGCAACACTGTGGCGCAATAGCTCATTTTGCATAAAACTGTCTGGTGGTCATAATAATTTAACCAATCAGTGTACATATCTTAAAAATGGTAGTGGCTCTTTACCTAACCACTGAAATGGCTACCAGACTCAAAGTTTATTTTAAAACTACCTTTGATCATATTAAATTTTGCTCATTTTGTATAACTAGTGGGCTGCGCACCCTGGTCGCTAGCGCTCGCCAACCCCTGAAAATTGCTACGCAATCTTATATGGTTTGCTTCACAAACCAAGCTCGCTTCACTCACTACTAACTTAGGTACATTGCAAATGCACAAAATTCTAAGAATTCAAACAATCATTCAAATCCATTTAACAACTTTTTTTTTTAAAAAAAAAAATCTTTTTAGTAAATACTAAGTTATTAAAATAAATTTGAATTCAAATAAATGACATGTAATTCGTTAAACCTATTAGATATGTGCTATAGTATAAAATCTTAAGATAAAATTTCTAAAACTGATATCTCTTTAAAAAGGTTAAAATTTCGTTTATAATTTAAGTCTATTAAAAATTGAAATAAGTGAATTTCCAAAATAAATTCCTGACATAAATCAAAAATCGTTAAATAATTCGTAATATATAAATTCGTGAAAAAAGCGCTTTCGACAAAATACTGAAATGGAGATCGATCGACAAAGACTACTCACTTCTGCCTAGCTTAACAGTATGAGATAGCCGCAACTAATATGGTGAATTTCGGAAGAGATCACATTATGGTGAGAATGGTCTCTTTGGTTATTTCAGTTTCCGTTTTTAAAAGCGCTATATGTTCAGCCACCTCAACTAGATTTGGCATGCGACATTTTTAGCGGCAATCATTGGTCGATATTCTAGTGTTGCCATTCGGGGAGTTGTAATGAGGCTTTTTTTTGTCGCTGTGTAAGAGAAATATATATATAGATGTAACAGCGGTTTCTAGGAAATAAAAAATAAATTGTAACTAATCATTGTTAAAAGTTACAGACTTGATGCGTCATGCTGCTTAGAAGAGTGAAATAAATCTTCTTTCGTTTGGCGTAGGTACTTTAGTCCATCTCTATTTTCTGCAATTGGGACAAGCAAAATACAATCGCTACGATCTTCGAATAGTTTGTATGAGTAGTATGCTTCTACTCTGAAAGAGAAAAATTTATAATTGAAAATTATAAAAATAGTTTTTAAATTTGAACTAATTTAATGCTGAATAGAATGATCAAGCAGGATTGTACTTTTATTACATTAAACCTTTATAATGCCTAAACTAGTAGAACAATAGTCTCGTAAATTGGTTTTATTCAATTTAGCATAGAAAATACAGCAGAAAAAAAATACTTGACTTGTTTTTATAAATGATATAAAATTTTACAACTATTTCTCCTCTACAAGAAGGTAAAACGTACAGGAGAGAATAGGGAGTTTTCAGCCATCGCTTATAGTAACATAATAAAGCTTATGTAAATAAAATACGAGGGTTGTCCATAAAATAAGGTTCCCAAGGACGTTAGGAACGCTGTTAAACGGGGTTGGGTGGGACTGGCGTGTAACTTGGTTCTTTTTCCCCCAGTTCCCGCCCCGGCGAGCTATCTACAACGTTAATTTGTCTTGGTAGCCGTGAAAGATGGAACTTCCATTTGTTTCCCCCGCCAGGTGTGAATTACGCTCTGTGATCTGTCTTTGTGTGCAAAAAACGTTCCTCCGGTGGACATTCATTCCCAACTGTGTGAAGCTCACGGGGAAAAGTGTATGAGTGTGCAACATGTGCGCAAATGTTGCAGAGAATTCAAAGACGGACGTACAGACATCCATGACGAACAACATTCTGGCCGGCCATCGTTTTCAGACGAAGCGATTGCTGAAAGATCGGATGGGGACGGTTCGGGACCTCAGCGAGATGATCCCTGATGTCAGTAAGTCTTGCACTCACAACATTTTGAGAGACCGCTTAGGATATGCCAAGGTTTGTGCAAGGTGGGTCCCGATAATGCTGACGGATGACAACAAACGGCAACGTGTGGAAGCAGTTCGCGAATTTCTCCATGCCTACGAAACCGATGATGAGGAATTTTTCGACTCTGTTGTCACTGGAGACGAGACCTGGGTTCACTACATGACACCGGAAACAAAAGAACAATCCTGTCAGTCGAAACATCCAGGCTCACCGAAGCCGAAGAAGTTTAAGCAAATTCTGTCTGCCTGAAAAGTGATAGCGAATGTCTTTTGGGACAGGAAAGGGTTGCTGTTGTAAGAATTCCTGCCTACGGGCACAACAATTAATGCGGATCGTTACTGTCGGACTTTGAAGACCCTTCGGTGCGCGATTCAAAACAAGAGAAAAGGCATGCTCTCAATTGGAGTGTGTCTCCATCAGGACAACGCTCGTTCACATACCGCCCGTGCCACAACTGATCTCATCAACAGATATGGATGGAATACTGTCACACACCCCCTTACAGCCCAGACTTGGCCTCCAGTGATTACAATCTCTTCCCTGGATTAAAGAAACACTTGGGAGAGACGCATTTCACAACCGACGAAGAGCTGAAGGAAAAGGTTTCAAGCTATCTTCGCGGCTCGGCGGCAGATTTCTACGACTCAGGCATAAAGAAGATGGCACACTGCATGTAAAAATGCATTGATCTTAACGGCGTTTATGTCGAAAAAAAGAGGGAAGTCTAAGCTTTCCAAACATGTATTATTCAATGCCAGTGAACATGTTTTTCATTGTGAAAATTCGTTGGGAACCTTATTTCATGGACAACCCTCGTAATATTGGGTATTGTTGTTTCGTCATATTTAAGAAGCATTATTTTTTATCTATAATTACTGGACAATAAATTTCAAAGGTAATTTTTTTAAAAACTTACCCATATTCGAAAGTCCCCTCAGCAAGTGTGTGTGTAATGTTGTACTTGAACTCAGGGCTTCTCAAATTTGTATAATGTTCTTCTTTTACCTAATATAACAAGTTTTCTTTGATGATGCATTTAAATAAGAAATACAAAGTATTAACTTATTGATTTGTGCTTACACATATTAAAATAGTAGGGGAGAGTCGGGTCAATTGTAACATTTTTTACTAAATTATTTTTAACTAACAAAAAATCCAATATATTATTAGTATTAATTGACATACGAGTAAAGTAGACTATCCTCTACTAGGAAAAAAATAAATACCTTATTTTAAATGTTGTTATATTAGTTATTAACAATTTTTGACAGTCGTGTACTTGTTACAATTGTCCCCACTTACGGGGTCAATTGTAACAGTTCTTAAATTCAACTAACTACAACATAGTTAAATATATATATTATCATAGTTGTGATATATTTTTTATTGATCAAAATAGTAGTGATATTTTAGGAGTAAAAATAATAATGAGCAGAGACCTAAAGGGTTAAACTTTTAACATTAAGGGGTTAAAAATTTTCAATTTATGCTGTGAAAGGTGACAAATTAAATTATGCACATGCAACATAATATAAATGATATAGGAAACTAGTGGTGGATCTTAAAGAGTAATGGTTTGTAAACATAAGATTGTTTATTTTCAGCTGTAACAATCGTCCCTTTACTTATTGTTGCAATCGTCCCCAAGACGCCATCTCAGTCAACCTAACCGTCAACTTAGGATGCTTTTACCATTCTGTAAGTTTTTATTGCACTTTTCAGAATTTTTAAAGCAACAAATAAATAATAAAAAATTTACATTTTAAATTATTAGTAACCTTGAAAAGCCTTCATGTGTTGGATGTTTGATATAATTTTGTAAAATACATCGCAAGTAGATTGATAAATCAGAGGCAGGGGATCGAACTGCGATACTAATCCAGTATATTGAAGAGAAAGCGTCCCATTTGTCCAAAACAATGATTCTCCAGTGTTAATTCTTCATTTTAGTATCACGCTGCATCGTAGATCAGGAGATAGTTTTCCACATGTTTCATAAATAATCCAAGTGCTAATATTTAAAAATGCAAACTGCTCAATTTTGTTGCCGTTCATAATCTCCGAGAAACATATGAATGTATTTGATTGTTTTTTTACTTTTTTTTCTTATTTTTTTTCGTGTCCATGGACAATTAAATGACCTCGTGTGTCTTCAAAACAACATCCGCAAACTTCAATACATCTTTACTGTAAAGGATCTCACGAAGTTCTGAAGCCAGTGGCTCCATACCCAGTTGTAAAACATATGGGGTAAGGGATGGTCACTCGAAAATGTGATCCGGGGTAAGTTGGACATCGGTGCGGTTCTTGCAGGGAGTATAAGTTCTTATTTCGCCGGGAAGAATTTTCATCCCTTTAAAGTGGTTTGTTCTTAGTCTAGTAATTCTTGATGTTAAGATTCGGGAACAATCAGGGTCAGTAATGAGAGATTTCCTGAAGGAATGGGGCAGAAGTCTGTGTCTTGCAACTGCATTTGCGTCTGCAAGCGTGATGGTGGTGCAAGGTATTTGCTTGTTAATTAGTTTAAGTAAACTATGCTGCTCCTTCTTAAACAAATTGTTTCACAAGTTGTTTCCATCTCAATCATAGGGAAAATGGTTTCTTTAAATTTCTATGTAAATTTAAGAACAAACTGAATAACCAAAACCTTAAAGATCCTATTGACCACCAACTATATTTCGTGTCAATGTGTGGCCTTGCGAATATTGGACTAACTAAACGTACCCTTAAACTTTGATTTATTGAACACGAACAATGTTTCCAAAAACCAGGACATAAGCCGATCTACATATTTGGAAATTTAATCACAATTTTGAGTTTTCATCTTCTAAAATCATCCACCAAACTTGATTTTTTGGAGTCATTCCGTACTCTAAAATATTCTAATAATTTAGTTAATGATTTTTCTAATAACCTACTGTTTTCCGATATTTGGAAGCCTATTCTAATTTAATCGGTTGAAGGTTCTTGTCCAAAACCCCTCACACCTGTTTCATATTTCCTTGTATTATTTTCTTATTCGAACTTGTTCCTCAGTCTCTGTTGGTTAAATCACTGCGCATGTGTTCGTATCCTTACCCTCATTTAGTGTTTAGGCACTGAATTGAATTGAATTCAATTGAATGTAGGGTTTACTGGCACAAGGTCCACAAAAGGACTTGCTGCGCCAAACATGTGATTTCATGTTTAGGCACTGAGGAAGGTTTTTGTTTGTAGAACTGAAACTACAGCATGTCCATTTCAGTACTTTCATTTGTGCATTTTCACGTTCTTTTTTTTCTTTTATACTTTAGTCCACATTGCACAAAGTATACCTTTTCTTTTTTGAAGACTTTAGAATCGAGTGAAAAACATGAAAAATACTAATTTTGTAGAAATAAATAAAAAATAATTAAGAGAAATAATTATTTATACAGTAAACATTAACTCAAGAAATTTAAAAATTTTTTGAAGCTTCTTTTCTAAATAATTTCGAATATTAGATTTGGCGAATATTTTACTAATCTTTATAAATTAATCCAATTTTCAGCAGATTTCTATTCCCCGAGATTCCTTACTTTTTTGTCACGTAAACATTTTTTTTCGGTCATACAATTGTTTGGTTATATAATCACTTATGGACGCAAATAATTAGAAAAAGTTTTGGTAATAGATACTAATAATAAAACATTTTGATAATAGATACTAGTGTGTTTATCACTTTCGAATTTTCAAATTAATAAACGTTGACTAACTTTTAAAATCATAAACATGAATTTAAGGATAACTACATATTTTTAAAATTTATAATTTCAAATATTATTTTAACTTACCCTAATATTAGTTATTTCACAGTAGTCTTTGTGCAGTTTGCAAAACTCCGCATCAGTTGAAACGCAGTAATCTGGATATGTCTGACAAAACTTATCTCTATTATATCTGAAATTAATTTGAAAATAAAGAGCACAGAGAAAATCTAAACTTGCAAAATTAAATTAAGTAATACTTTATTTAATCCTAAAAGTAACCCCTATTTATTTCATTTGTCATTTTAATAAACAGCAATTAATTGTGAACGTTTAATTTTGAACATATTTATTAAATTGGTTGTATTTAACAACATGAAAATTTTTAAAAGGTAATTATGATAAAAATTATGCTTTTTAAAACATATAAATAGATTTTTCTAGTTGACATATGTTAATAAAACATAAGCAAATAAGCGTTTAACAAACGTGTTATGGCTCATGGAAGGATATAATTTGCAATAGAGTTTTCCCCTCTTAATAACAGCAATAATAGAACGTGAGCCGACCGGCATGTGTAGGGGGCAGGGAACTGTCCTTGCATCAGAAAGGTCTTGGGTTCGAACCCCGGGCAAGGCATGGATGTTTCTTTCGCTCACTCTGTGTTCTATGTCCTTTCTCCTTTGTGTGGTCCCGCAGTGGACTGATCGTTAAGACACGGTTCCCAGCAGATCACCGAAGTCAAGCATCACTGGCTACGGTCAGTGTGCGGGTGGGTGACCACTTGGATCAGTTTGCCTAGGGACCGAGGGTGTGCGGTATTGGTTCTCGTTGAACTGTGCTACCGTAAAGTGCTCGACTTCGCGCGCAGGTCGTCGGGCTACCGAAGAGGGGGTGCCATCCCCTCCACAGAGGATCAAAATTGTGATGGCATGTCTTCGGATCATCCTCCGGGATGTTTCCCAGACCATCGCCTATAGCCCATTGAGCAGCTCTAGTGCGACGTAAATTAACAACAACATCTCCTTTGTGTGTGAATGGCGTGGCAGAAGTCGAATTCCTGGCCGTAGATGGCGCCACTGAAAAACAGGAACAATCGCACCACCCACTGCCTAAACAGGCGTACGACAAAAAAAAAAAAAGAAAAAAAAATAGAACGTGAGAAAGGTTGGTTATACGAGAGTTGCTATTTATATTTCTGGCCTAATAATGAAAAAACAAATATGTAGGATCGAAATTGATTTTATTGTTTTTCAAAATATTCATAATTATTCATAATTCATAAATATTCATAATAATATAATATATTATTATGAATATATTTATATTATAATATAATATAATATAATATAAATATTCATAATAATATAATATATAATAATAATCATAAATATTCATAATTAATAAATATTCATAATTATTCATAATTAAATATTCATAATTATTCATAATTAAATATTCATAATCAAAATATTCATTCAAAATATTCATATATAATTTTCAAAATATTCTCCATGATGATCAATACACTTTTGCATGCGTTTGAACCAATTTTAGAAGCACTTTTTCCAGTCTGATTGAAGTAACTCCAAAACATGCGTTTTGAATGACTCAACCACTTCTTCGGGGGTCGAAAATCGTTGTCCACGTAATTTATTTTTGATGTGTGGGAATAAGAAGAAATCATTGGGTGCCAAATCAAGGCTGTACGGCGGATGACCCATAAGTTCGATCTTTCGCTCCGTCAGAAATGCCTTTGTTTGAGTCGATGTGTGAGAGCTCGCATTGTCATGATGAAGAATGATTCGCCTGTTCTTCTGCTTTTTTCGAATTTCTCCGATGACTTCTGGCAAACAAATGGTCGTGTACCATTCAGAATTGACCGTCCTGCGTTGCTCTAACGCCACTGTTGCCACATGACCGTTAATGCCGAAGAAACAGGCAATCATTTGTTTCGATGTGCTTCTTCCTCGAACAACTTTTGTTGGTTTTGCCTCGTCTTGGAAGACCCATACAGTTGATTGCTGTTTTGTTTCCGGCTCATATGCATAGATCCATGATTCGTCACCTGTGTAGATGTTATACACAGCCTTTGATGTACCTTGAACGTATTTTTCCAACATTTCCTTGCACCAATCGACACGAGCCTTTTTTTGAGCGTTTGTCAGATTATGCGGGATCCAACGCGAACAAATTTTTTTTACGCTCAAATGTTCATGCAATATTTTATTGATGCTAGTCATACTAATGTCCAAAGACGCCTCTATCTCACGGTATGTCACATGACGATCTTGCTTTATCAGTTCACGCACAGCATCGATCTTTTCTGGCACAACAACGGATTTTGGACGACCTGCACGGGATTCGTCCTGGATCGAACATCGACCACGATTAAATTCGTTATACCAATTTTTTACAGTGCTGTAGGATGGCGCTTTATCGCTGAATAAAGAATTAAGTTCATCGAAGCACTCTTGTCTTGACAATCCACGTCGAAAGTTATGAAAAATAATGGCACGAAAATGTTCACGATTCAATTCCATTTTTTGAAAGAGAAGAACTTTTCAATTTACTGTCAACAACACAAATGAAGCTATAATGGTAAATCGTCTGCTGAATTTATGTTTAAAAATATCAAACTTTCGATTAAAATCGTCTGCGGTCGCCTAGCAACACTTACTGTTGCCAAGGCCAGAAATATAAATAGCAACCCTCGTAATATGTACTCTACAGCCTGTTGGCTTCATTAGGTTGGTCTAGTTGGTGCGGCAAACTTTTGGTTGTTTAACCATATTAGGTAAAATCAGTTAATAGAGGGTTTTTCTCACAATTAACAGTTTGAATACCATCTTATTTAGGGCTATTTATAGTATTAAATAACAATTAAATAAATTGTAATTTAACCATTTTTTAGAGAAATTTTTAACAGAGTATTTACGCTCATTTTAAAGCTCTTATTTCCAACCACTTTGAAGCATGCTATTTTAAATGACAAAATATGACAAATTGGTCGAACAGTTTCTTAGTTATGCAATTTTTGAAATTCCGTAAGTTTAAAATTTGATTTCTCGAGAATTATACCATCAATTTCATTCATATTTTAAATTTTGTAATTTAAAATACTCACTTTAACATATGTAAAAATTTGTGGAGCTTACAATTCCAAAATATTTCGATCATTATGAAAATTTAAAAAAAAAATTATAATAACTATTAAAAACTATTTTCTAAATGGAAATATACTTTGATAAACGAATTTTATACTGTGTGCATTTTTTTTATTTGCTTGACAAACTATCGAATTCTCTGAAAGTGGAATTTGTATTTAGGGGGTTCAAACTTTCGCTCGTTATCCAGCCTATTCGGATCATCCAACTATTAGGACTTTAACTTCTAGGTTGTGGCTACTACAATGGTTTGATCCTAATCTGTTGGAAAAGGTTGTTGCTTCTATTTTTGTGAAATAATATATTACCAGTACTATTTAGTTAAATTATTTAAGACAAGGCTCTCAAACTATTAAGGTTAAGTCTGGTCAGTTGACCAACGAAGACAGGCCAGTAACATTTTTTTTTGTCGTATGCCTGTTTTTTAGGCAGTGGGGGTGCGATTGTTCCTGTTTTTCAGTGGCGCCATCTATGGCCGGGAATTCGACTTCTGTCACGCCATTCACACAACCACAACCCGTTTAATCGGGCGGGTCACATCAACACCTCCTAGAAAGAACAGGCCTCAGCACGGGTTACCATAAATATCCCTTAGTAGTCCAAACGTAGTGGCATATTTTGTACTATCAATCACTGCGCAACTTAGTACCCCTAACGTAATGACATCTTTCTTATGTTTCGCCTACTGCGCAGTTAACTTCGTCTCATGGGACTACTAAATTGATCCGTGCTGAGGCCTTTCTACAGGTCACATTTACACACAAAGGAGAAAGGACATAGAACACAGAGAGAGAGAGAAAGAAACATCCATGCCTAGCCTGGGATTCGAACCCAGGATCTTTCTGATGCCAGGACAGTTCCCTGCCCCCTACACAGGCCGGTCGGCTCCAGTAATATTAATACTAGTTTGACAGCTTGATTAAACTTGGTGTTGTACCTGATAATTACCTTACCACTCAACCTGAAAACAAGCAGGTTTAGGTTTGTTTTCTTAAATCATGTTATTTTTAATAAACATTCATTAGATTTTGATAATTATTTTGTTCTCTTCCCATAGATTTGATCTGTTCATTTAAGCAAACAAACTGCTCTATATTTTTGTTCACATCAGGCTTATTAATTTACGCAGGTAAGATAACTAAGAGCTACATTTTTGTATCAATGAATCCTAATAATTTAATCAGAAAATAAATACACTTCAATGGAACTTGCTAAACTATGGAATCAGCGAAGACAGTATGCATGTAGTACAACCGACATATTTGTAAAGCATTATGTTAAAAAGAATTATTAGAATATATGCAAAACTAGACTAAAGTGCACTGTTATCCAAAGATCGAAGCTTGAATTTCGAATCAACTTTTACTTGCAACTCGAGAAGAAGTGAAATGATTATGCCTAACAATGCGATTTAAATCAGTTTTAATTGGATGCCTATATGTGACGTCATATGTTTGTGTCAAACCTGATTAACTTTTAAATCGACAAATGCTACTATTTTGCTACGATGACGTCACTTAAATGCATCCAGCAAAACAGATTCCAGGTTTTAGCGAGAGTAGCGAAGATGGCGCTAGTTACAATAAAATTTCCCTCCAAGAAGAATGAGACACATTTTAAAAGCTCTAAAAGGTCAATTAATATTTCTATTCCATTCCTATTTCTATTCTATACTTATTTCTATTTTTCCTGTAATTTTTAATCATTCTGAAAACAACAAAAAGGTCTACATCAATTTTTATTAAGCTTACTTTTTCTGTAAAAGTTTTGTTAAATTATGAGGTTATTATTATAATAAAAAGTACTTACTGCTGTTTTTCTTGAAAAACATTTTTCCCAAAACTCTATTAGACCCTAATTTACACTTACCTTGAATTAGTGCAAAAAACTATTCCAGGTGCCAAGATGGCTTCCGGTTTGATAATATCAATATTCAAAACTGTAGGGTATTCGTAAACGTGGTTGAAGAAGACCATGATTTGATAAACAAAAGCAGAAGATAGAATAAGGAGAGCAAATCCATTCCATACATTCTTTAAGGCTTTCTTTGTATCTATGCCGGAAACAACCCCTTTGCAGAACTTCTTTACATTAATACCATAATTTCTCTTGGTGGAATTTTTTCCTGGAGTTTTAGAAACTGAAATAGTATGTACCATTAGTGAGGAAAAACGACGAAGATGGTATGTGTTTTTATTTATTTCATAGCTCTAAATGTATTTTTATATATTTTCCTTATAAAAGATACAGTAATCTATCAATAACTCCAGCAGCTTTTACGGCGATATTCTCAGTGTTAAAAAGAAGTCCGATTCTTTCATTTTACTTATTTCTTTTTTTCTTCACAATTAATCGATTTCTCATTTGCATGATTACAACTTCAGACACTAATGTCTTTATTTACATTAAAGTCTAGAGGGAATTTGAAAAAAATGTAAATAAGATATGAACTACATGACATTAAAAAAATAAATAAGCTCTAGGAGATATCATCTGCCTGAAGACCATATTCAGGGCCAGCGCTAAGCATTCGCCACCTCGCCAAATGTCATACAACCGTAAATTTGGCGAACAAAAATAATGATTCGGCGAAAGTATTGGCCAATAATTTCACAACCGAAGAGAAAAATATACATATTATTCCTTTAATAGTGAAAAAAAATCAAAGGGAATTTTCTGAACAAATCCGTAATTTTTATTCGATTACTGTAATTTCCGTTAGATACGTTGCGTAACCAATTAGAATTATACTAAGTCCAGATAATGTAAGTAAAAAGAAAGATAATGTAAGCATGAGACAAACTACCATAAAATACAGATTACCAAACTTTCGTTGCCGGATATCGCGATATCACGTGACAATTTATTTCCTACAGTAATAATACAGAATCAACAAAATAGATTCTGTTGTAGCAAAAGGTAAATGTAATTTATAAAAAAAAAAACATTTTTTTTCGAGATAATAAGATATACAATAACGGTACAATAACGTAATGTTGCCTAGGATTTATCTTTATATTGCTTCTCTAGTTATCAAAAACTAACTACTACCTATTCCTACTTATTTCAATCAAAGACGATAAGACAAAATTTACATTTTTCATTCTGATTTTTCATTCAAAATTTCATTTTTCATTCAATGATTCATTGCTCCTTTATTTCTCCACAACTGCAAAATGACTCTTCATTCGGATTTGCCTTTTATTAAATAATACAATTTATAGTAAATTTGTATTTTGATTTGAAGATTTCTTTGTTAAAAAAACAACCAAAAGAAATTGTTAAGATTTGCCTGTTTCTAAGAATTTTGAAATTCGGCAAATTAACTGGCTAATGATTTTGAAGACACGGTATGGCTTGATTTTCTTATCACCGTGTTATTTTCTTATCCCCACCACCTTATCAATATTCCAATCACTATGTAGTTCGGAAAGTGAAAAAATAGTAATAGTTTGCTTTATAATTTCGATTTTCTACTTTCTAATTGCTAGAAGATTTATTTTAGACTAGTTCATCTAATTATGTATATTTTAAGCTCTTTTCATTTATTAAAAAGGGGATAAATCATGTTTAAAATATATTAAGCAATTTTTTTCTGTTACACAGCACAGTAAGAAAAAGAGTTTCTCGGTCAAACCAAAACTTTTTCTATCGAACATTACTAGGTTATATATATATATATTTATATATTTATATTTATATATATATAACTTTTAATATGATGTTAAGAATATTTATAAGCAGTGGTGGAAAGAAATTTTCTTAGTGTTCGTGCTATAAATCAAAATTAATAAAGAATAAGAACTTATTCGTGAAGCGGAAATATAAAAATTCATCCTACTATTATTGGTACGGTACGGTATTTTAGTTCACGTCGCACTAGAGCTAAAGAATAGTCTATTGGCGTCGGTGTAGGAAACACCCCTTAGGAATATCTGCAGTCAGCATACATACGTCATACCCCATTCAACAGGGAGGACACATTCACACGCAATCCACTCCCATAAATTGTTTAATCGAAATCAGATCAATACTGATTTCAGGTCAAAATTGACGTGAACCAGTATGCACTCAATCTCCGATCCAGTACCACCAGAGGTATTTATTTAAATGTTCTGGAGGACTTTGTGAACCCGACAGATTTAGTGTGTACCTGTCACCATTTTGTACAAAAGCAGTCTTCGTCTGAAGGAGATCGAACTCCCGACCGTTAGGACATGGGACAAACGCCCTATCAACCGAGCTATCCCAGTCCTCACTATTATTGACGTCGATGATACTTAATTAGTTTCGGTAATTGGCATTATGTCTATTATAAGAATTGGTACTGCTTTAAAAGGTAAAAAAAACTAATGCAGTTACCAATATATCTGATTAAGGTGATGGGTAAATTTTTTTTCGGTTCCCGAAAGGGATAGTTACCGGAAAAAATGTTTGATTGTGATTAGTGGGAGCAAAGTTATGACACTGGAAAAGTACACATACACAGGTATTAGAGTTAATATAGCATTCAGAACTATAAGTTGCTGTTAAGATCATGCAAAAAAGGGTTCTAGATTTCATGAAATAAAAAGATTCAGAGTTTAAGCGTAAATTTGTGTGGTGAAAAATTTTTTATATGGGAATACTAATATTACTAAAATCATGTAACCGAAAATGTTGCATTTCGAAACATTCAAAATTATTACTTTGCTTTTTAATATGAGTTCTATGATTAATTCTAAGACGTAAAGAAATTGAAGTTTTTCTTAAATATTCTACGTTGCAAGTCTTGCACAGTATCCAGTAAATGATATTATATTGTTTGCAGAATATACCTTCATAATTCACACTATTTTCCAGGTTTGCCTTACATCATAATTGACAATTTTTACTTTTACGAAGACCTTTAACCGCAGTAGCAGCAAACACATATTTATAAAAAAGAAATTTCGAGGATTGCCTAGATACGCACTATCTCTGTATACGGTAAACGCAGACTTCAAAATAGAGGTACTTAGTCCTCAAAACTATTTCAGTTGCATTAGTGTCAGGGTGCATTTAAAAGAATCTGTAACAGCAAAACCAGCTTTACGTTGGGAATGCAAAATTTCAAAGCTAACCTTTTTGCAATAACATTTCAATTAATTTTGTCACTCACCTTTTAGCCTAATTAAAATTTTAAGTTTAAATCCACCTTTCGGGATTCACACTGTACACAATCGGCCAAACCGCAACAGTCACTTATATTCATTCATGAGGCACCATCTTCAATCCAATTATTTGGAAGGATGGGATATGTGAACGTAGACTTGGATATAATTTGGTTTATGCACTGACAACGGATTCAAAATTTTTTGGTTATTTAAAATTATCATCTTTGAGTTCCTATGTTATATATTTTTTCTATTGTTCTTCA